CAACAGCACTATTGGGAAAACAAAGCACGCACCTCTTCCTTGAACGGATACCCTAGATCCATGATGGCATGGATATGAGCAAGGTGACGAGGAACACGGGTCTTCCCTTTGCGCGGGTAAGGCTTCTCCTCACGGTGTCTGCGAACGGTACTGCTAGAGCGGCGGCGACGATCAACCATATCTCGGTCACGAATATCTCTGAACTCTTCATCACCATAGTAGTCGGGCTCGGCGATCCTAATATCCTCGTAGACTTCTCGCTCGCGATAACGGCCCGGAGATAAATGGCGACGAGGCGGAGCAACGACAGGGACACGGGGAGCGCGGGGTCTATGATCTCGGGCCTCAAGGTGTTCCATTTTGCGTCGGGGTATGCGGTCGAAGGTATCCAAGGACGACTGCCGCCTAATAAGTTGGGGACGTTGGAATGAGGGACTGGCATCACGGCGCCGACGCCCCTCATGCGCCACCAGAGACATGGCAGGGGATGGGTGGTCTAGATGGTCATCCTCATAGAATCTCCCGCGTGCACGCGCAGGAGGGCCATATCGGTCTTCCTCGCGGAGGCGCGCTTCAAAGCGCTCTTCGGCATGGCGGGGTCGTTCGGCCACAGGGGGACCCCGTGAATATCGATCGTATCGATCGCGAGAGTCCAGGGTCCCTGTTGACGAGCGGTAGTCATCGTATCGAGACATTTGGGAGTATCACCGGATTCCACAACAAAAAAAGAAGGGTGAACCGTGGATGACGCGAGCGGCTGACTTCCGTACCGAGGGTGGGGTATCGAGGGACCACGGGCGAGAGAGATTGATAGTGATCTTGGGAAACCGATAGAAAAAGAGAGAGAGATAAGACACTGGGAGGCAAAAGTGAGGGGAAAGGAACAGAAAACAGAAATTAAGAATCAGCCTTGGGAGAAAAGAGAGCGTCAAAAAGTACAAGATAGGTAAAACGTCAGGCAGAAGTCGATCAGTGATGATATTGGGTCAGACGGATATTGAATGTGGGGGGGGGGATAATACCTGGAAGGTACCTATCTGCGCCACATCTTTCTACGGGCACTACTGTATCTACTGTATGATGCTACTGTATGTTGTGCCTAATGTACATAGATGTACTATGTATGTAGGTACTGGTGCATTGTATACTTCATCCAATCCTAAACCTCCAAATTCGCCATGTCCTCTTCCAAAATTCCCATAGCCCAATGCGCTCGATCGGACTTGACTGTGACAAATCGACGATCTTCAACCTCTTGCAGCACAGCCTCGGTCTGTGGCGCATAGATTAGCATGGATGTTCTAGGCCAAGGATATCCAATCGACATGCTTACCTCACGCTTTTGCTCCCTTTCTCGTTCTCGGTCAGTCTCAAATGACCGTTGATAGGGTGGCCCGCGACCTTGCTTTGCAGCGACCATCCATGATTTCTCACAGCCACCTGCGATAGCATCGGCTGTCTTCCACCCAGTCAGGCGAGAGATGTCGCGAAGTTTTGAAATTGTCCAAGTTCGCTGCGTGTGATCATTATATTGCACAGCTGCGAAGAATAGCGGTACGGACATTTCAGTCAACGAAGAACCCAAGTTCGGACTCAAGCTTCCAGCTTCGAGGTTAAAGCGTTGCGGGTAGTAGATACCCGCCATGATCTTCCCAACAATTTGCGCAAATCCAGCTGTTGTTGGGGCAGAGACCCCAGCTGCCATCATGATGGCCGGTGGCATAGAGGGATGAATCCGATTCAGCAGCAAACGCATGGCATAATAAAACCCCCAGATCACGGCGATGGTGTGAGTACGGTACTGAAGGGCAGGACCGAACGGTGTAGAGATTGGGGGCGCTACATCTGCTGGCAAAGGTTGAAAATCGCGCCCCAGTGCCTGCGAGAACGTGTCCATGGCGACCAGGATGTCTTCCCATTCCTGTTCGGCTTCCTTGTAACTCATATCGTGAGTCGGGTCATCCTCGTCTGGTGACAGACGAGGCTCACGCGGTCTATCTTGGAATCCCGAGGGAAGGCGTGGAGGTGGTTGAGGGGGTATCATTCCGTACATGGGTGGACTGTCGGCCGAAGCCGGTCCAGGGCTTGAAGGAGACACCCCAGTAGGCTCTGACATATACGGGGGCCTGGGGCCCCCTTGAGGCTGCATGTTAGGCGTGCCAGATGGAGGGCCAGGGGCCCCCCCTGAACCAAAGCCGCCAGGTTGTCCAGGTCTTTGGCCGGGTGTGCTGCCAGCGAACCGACCCATGAATTTGAACATCTCAGGGCCAGGTCTCCAGTCCACCCCGCCTGCCTTCAAGGTTCTCAATTTTCGCTTACGATCACGGAAGCCAAAGTCTGTGACCCGACCGAGTAGCAGCCACAGATGATCTGCGGAGCCGTAGATGGCATCTAAACGGCCAATGCCTGCTCGAGGCGGACATTGACCCCATTGAGAGTAGGGCATTCTGGTTTAACAATAAGCAAATCTGTTGTCTGCTAGTAGCCGTAGTTGTAGACTTACAATAGTTTGTTTCCGCCGATAAAACTCTGGAATGCATCTTGCTTTGTATACCACCAGTATAGATCGCATTGAATCCGGAAGACCTCAATGTCCTTGCGGGTAAAATGCTTTTTGGAGGGCAGCATACTTTCATTATTGATACATCCAAAATCGTCGTAATTGACTGTTTGTCCCATAATGGCGCCTACGAGATCTTCATCGACGTTTCCCTCTTTCTCAGAGAAGGGATCATCCTCAGAGTCATCGCCAGACATCCCCCACCACGAGTCCGACCAGCCAGACTGGCGTCGGTGCTCATGAGCTCTACGTCGATGGGCCCGCAGGTCTCTGGTGATCTTGGCAAAGTCGATCTCTCGGATAAGATGAGTAGATCCCCCAAGGTGGTTATTCCATTTCGAGTGATCGGCAGATATCACCTCATAGTATCCCAGTAGAAGAGTGGCGGCCAAGGTACCAACTTGCTTGCGTCGAAGGGGAAGGCCAACTGCGGAACCAACTCGTTTCAGGGCGTAGTGATAGTGCTTCAACGATACTGTCGTGGGAACTTGCTGTAAATATGCAATGTGTAAGCTGCTGATAGCAAGTATTGCCTGGAGGAGGGCTGGATGTTCCAGGGCTTTCAGTGCAAGCGTATAAACCCATAAACCCTGTTGTGCAGATGGCACAGCCGCCCCCAAAATAATTGAGGAGTCAGTAGGATGCCGTTCAAATATAGATAAAGATGGGCCAGTCGAGTGAATGAAGTGAGCAAATATGCGGGCGGTCTTTGGGTTGTTTAGAGGAGAAGAGCCAAGGGTTGGTCGGTATGAGGCGAGGACATTAGGCTCGTTTAGGTATGTTGTGAAGGAGCGGAGTTGTCGCTCGTCACGGTTAGCAGAGGCCATGATGAGACTCAACTGGTTGAAGCCTTCAGCCTGTGATTGATCCACCATCTCATCGTCCGAGTCTACGTCGTAATAATCCTCGCTTTCATCCTCCATGTATATAACTTGTGGCTGATGGGGTATTTCATGGGGTATAAATTGGTCATGAGGTCGTAATTGCTGCGAGAATTGTCCTGGCGGTGGCTGATAATGATATATCGTCGGCAGCGGCTGGGCCATCTAAGAAGTCGTACTCAGTATATCAGCCGCGAAAAACAGAGGGATCACGGCAATGCATACCTGAGGAACTGGATTCAGTTCGCTCTCCCTGTTTGCCGGCATTGGATTGAGACCTGGTACCGAGGAGAGATTGAAGGCATATTCTTCAGCCGTCTGACCGATCGGACTGGCGATCTGGGCTACATTTTGTACGCTTGAATGGCGCCTATGTGGAGCGCTTATCTGGCCTAACTGAACTGGCTGCTGCTGCTGTGCTTGTGAGAAGTTATTCGCCTTTGGCGGTACCAGTGTGCTCTCCATTTGAACTATCGGCTGAGTGTGCCACATATGAGTTAGTGGCTGCACTTGGGTTGCTGGATAATAGAATGGAGGCGCATTAACGGGCTGTATTTGACTCGACGAAGGTGTTTGGGACGGAAACGAGTGATATCCCATCGCTGCCGGATCAACAGGTCGCGGAGCTAACATTGGATGCTGAGCAGCGGCTGCCGCTTGTTGGGGAGGGAGTTGAGAGCCATAATCGTCGGGGATCGGCGCCCTCATATGCTGCTGCTCTATCTGCGGATCCTGGCCGTGGCCAGTACTGAAAGATCCAAAGATGCCTATGGGGTTCTTAAACACGACCCGTTGGGCATATCCTTCGCAGATTCGCTTGGATTTCACGCAGTTGGTGCATATTGGCTTCTCTTCACCGCACTTGATCCGGCGCTTTCGACAAGCTATAAGGCTTGGTCAACAAGGAAAACCTATCTCCAGCGTTCTGCAACATACTTAAACAGCCGGTCTTGGTTCGTTTCTTGGGGAGTCGGCGGGGACCTGACCGTGCGGTTGAGGCTTCCGCAGAACCGTCAACAGTAAGATCCCCTGGGATATCCAGCTGATCCATCGGCTTGTCAGCCATGGCCTTCGAACGACTCAAGATTGGAGAGTGGACATGTATGAGGATATTGTGGGGCTAAAAGGCACAATGATCAGATAAGTAAAAGCTGCTGATGATCGCAGATCACCCGGAATACACCGTGGTTCGTCAAAGGGGGGTATGATCACCTACTTATTTGTAGGGGTCTCTCTTAAGTGCACAGCCAGACTGCTAAATGTCCACAGGTTTGACTTTCACAATTACAAGGGCTTACGAGGCGCTTAGGGGCGTACAGAGTCCACCGTGCAACGTTCTCTTTGTGCCCCAAAACACAGTCACGGCATAGGCGAGATCTACTGGTGGGGTGCCTGGGTGCCTTAGCTACCTAAGGCACCAATGTGTATGTAATCTGATAGTAAAATTACCGATAACGAAATTTTGATAGGGGTTTTTTTTTTTTTTTTTTCTTTCTGAGGTACCGTTTCCTCTACTTCAAAGGCATTGGACATTTACAACCAGTCCTTCAGAATTAACCATGTTCGCTGTTCCAGGATGGTCCGTTGAGAGTTCTGCTCTGAAGTCACAGACTCAGGCCGTGCAGCCCAAGAACGAATCCCAACCGGAGAAGGATGCCCCCAATGCCGATGCGAAGAACAACAAGCGCAAGCGTGCCAATGATCGTGTTACCGCTGGAAATGTGGATGAAATGTACCGCAGACACATTGAGAAAGGTGGAAAGCGCGGCCCAGAGGGTTCCGTGAAGCCAGAGAAGCAGAAGAAGGAAAAGAAGGAGAAGCAGACACCGGAGATAGCCACCACCCAGGATCCTACAAGCGAAACTGTCACCACTGCCAATGCAGACGCAGATCAAGCCGAGGAGAAATTACCCAAGAAAAAGCAAAGGAAGAACAAGAAGAACAAGGACAACACTTCAGAGAAGACCGAGACAGACGGTGCTACCACTGCCACGGCTAAAGAAGCTCCTGCTCCTGCTCCCGCTCCCGCTGCGCTCCCACCAACAGCGAACCTGACCCCTCTCCAGCAGGCGATGCGACAGAAGCTGGTCTCCTCTCGGTTCCGCCACCTGAACGAAACCCTCTACACCACCCCCTCGGAGAAAGCACTCGAGATGTTCAGTACCAACCCTGAGCTGTTCGACGAGTATCATGCCGGATTCGCACGGCAGGTCAAGGAGTCTTGGCCTTCCAACCCGGTCGACGACTACATCAAGACCATCCGCACCCGCGGTGCAATCCCGCTCCCAAGACGAGGAAAGCCCCTCAACCCTGCTAAGGGCTATCCGCTCCCCCGTCGTCCTACTGGAATGTGCACTTTCGCCGATCTGGGCTGTGGTGATGCACAGCTCTCGCGCGCCTTGACGCCCTCCGCTAAGAAGCTGAACATCAAGATCAACAGCTACGATCTGGCGGCGCCCGATCCATTGATCACCAAAGCCGATATCTCGAATCTCCCCTTGGAAGATGGGGCTGCGGACGTGGCTATTTTCTGTCTGAGTCTGATGGGAACCAACTGGGTTTCGTTCGTTGAGGAGGCATGGCGTATTTTGCGCAATGACGGCAAGGGCGAGTGCTGGGTCAGTGAGGTCAAAAGTCGATTTGGCAAGGTCCAACGCAAGAAGTCTCAGATCGGTGCGCAGAAGCCCGGCAGCAAGGCAGACAAGAAGAAGCCTAAGAAGAAAGGCGGCGACGATTCTGAGGATGACGCTGATATCTTTGCTGAGGATGTGCGGCCGTCTGACAATACCGACGAGACTGATATCTCGGCGTTTGTGGAGGTGTTCCAGTCTCGTGGGTTCATGCTTCGCCGGGAATCCGTGGATAAGTCCAATAAGATGTTTGTGAGAATGGTGTTTGTTAAGCAGGGTGGTGCGCCTACCAAGGGGAAACACGCTTCAGCTCTCAGCGCGCCTGCGCCGGGTAACAAGAAGCGCTTTGTTGACCGCAAGCCTGATTCAGAGTCTGGCTTGTCGGCTGAGCAAGAGGCCAAGGTGCTGAAGCCGTGTGTTTATAAGATCCGCTAGACGTTGCAAAGGATTTATTTATATGTCATTGTACATAATCAAAATTTACCACGCATTACCACTACAGGTGTTCATGGACTACCTCTAAGTTGCTAACTACCTGAAATACGACATAGATAGGCCAGCATGTAAGCGTTGGACGGCATCGTCATTATTTTTCTATTGCTCCCAGCATAGATACTAGCCTCCAAATCAAGTCCGAGGAGCCCCTTCAAGCGATATCTTCGACACTAGTCGCACTTATTGGTTACCACCCAGCTGTGTGACAGCTTGGCCCATCTCCTCATCGTTGTAGATACGGAAACCCTTCTCCTTGGTGACACTAGCCAGCTGGACATTCTTGGAATCAAGTTTCTCTTCCATAACTTGCTTCAGCGTCTTCAGCACCAACGTCTCAGCCTCAGCAAGAGTCAAAGACTTGTGGTATTCATTCTGCAGCTCAGCCTGCGCGCCTTCGCTTCCTGAGCCGATGGCCTTGGCGTCATACCGGTAGAATGTGCCGGACGGTTCGGCGTGGTATCTAGCAAAGAAAAGGAGTCAATAAATCTATCAGACGAAAGGAAACTACATATCTTACAGTTGGGGCCCGTCCTCGTCATAACCAGCGATTAACAGCGCAACACCGAACGGTCTGCTCATGACACTCTCCTCGTCGTCACCACTCTCACCGAACCGCAGAGCCAAATCGCAAATTGCCTGTGTTGTGCTCTCAACCCGCAGAGGCTCGGCATAGTGGAAGGCGTGATTTTGGCACTCGACGCGGGCGTGCTCAACCAGATTGCGGGCATCGGCCTGCAGACCGGACATGGCACAGCCGATGTGCTGATCAATTTCGACGATCTTCTCGACGGATGACGCTTCGAGAAGCGTGGATGTGACGCGCTTCTCAACGCCGAGGATAACACCCTCGGAGGTTGCTACCTAGATGAGTGTTAGAAAGGACGGTCCCATGATCGCATTATCCTTAGTTTTGCGCTCGATAACAGTACAAAGGTCGCTCATTGTAGTGTTTCGAGGCCTTTCTTGGAACTGTAGAGCAAAGAGGAACTGAGTGGTATGACATACTCCGATGGCTGTGGAGCCTAGTTTGATAGCTTCAAGAGAGTATTCGACCTGGAACAAACGACCTTCGGGGGAGAAGGTGCTGCGGAGGGAACATTGTCAGGCCGCGGGTCTGTCTAAGGACGCGGATTAATCTCGGAGAACGTACTTGATTCCACGGTCTGTCCAGAGCTGTTAGTTGATTCCGCGGTGAGGGGAGGACCTGACGAAGCTTACCATATTCTGATCGTGCAATGAACATATTGGGTTATCTGATGGGACGGGGGAGACTTGTCAAAAAGAGAAGCAATAAAGCAATATGGAATGACGATGGAGGAGAGAATCAGTTGGAAGAGAAGGGGAGCAGAGGTGGGTGTCTGAGTGAAGCTCGGGAAGGGAAGCTCTCGACGTACGCAAGAGGTGAGGTGCCTGTTAATGCCTTGGTGCCTGAGGCGTTCATCTGCCCAAACTAAAAGTGGAGTTGTTTGGATACTTGCATCTTCTCCCCATATACATTGGTTCTACTATTTTTGTTGCTAATTCTTCGATTTCGCGCCTTTCAATCTCCTATGCTGCATGATTTACTCTTCGCCCTCGCGGGATTATGTCTGCCAATGACCGCGCCGCGTATATGAGCGCTCCACGACCCCGCGCTGTCTCCAATCGCGTCGATTCCGAAACTCGCGGGCCGTCGCCGCTACAAGTTGAAAACAAGGATCCTTTGCGCCACAGCACCTCGAGTCAAAAACACAGAGCATCCCGGGATCAGAAGAGCATGTCTGATAAGCGCTCAGAGCGGATGGTGATCGCATCACGGGAAAAGGCAATGCGAAGGAACCCTGTGAACCCTGTTAAGGAATCTATCAGTGCAGCCAACAGAGGCGATTGGGATAAGACTCGGCCCAGGAAGCCTATTCAGCTTGATGACTCAAGACCCAGTTCCCGAACTGGAGAGAAGGACCCGGCTGATTGTGAGTGATCCCTGTGTCGCAGTTTGTCGTGGAAAGCAATGGATTTGCTGACCATGAATTTTTTCTTTACAGCACCATGGAATCCTCAGGCATCATTGATTCCTCACTCGACAGCTCCTCTCGCATGCCGTGTATCAGTTCCCCCTCTAGCTTCAACAGCCCCACAGGCCCTTCATCCTCGGCCACTTCGAGAGCTCTCACCCGATGCCCAGGAAGCAGCGATCTTGGAGGACTTGTTGTTCGTGTTCATGGGGTTTGAAGGTCAATATGTTCATTACGCTAGTTCATATGACCCATCGATCGAGAAAGACCGCCTCACGGGCCCAGTCTTTCAGATTGCCCCGGGCTTGGATCCGACCCTTCGTGACCTCATCCAGTCCATGTTGAAAATGGCGACGCACTACAGTGCAATGGAGGCATTTGTGGAAATACAAAGCCGCGCTGAGTGTGGCGCTGTTAGTCACTCGCTGTGCGCATCTATTCGAAAGCTCCTCAAAGATTACCTGATCCTTATCGCCCAGCTGGAAGGCCAACTGCTGAACAATCCTACATTTACCTTGCACCTTCTTCATCTCCACACAATGCCCACCAGCCAATGTTTGGCCCAATTATATTCGATGGGTCAGGAACTGTTGCTCAAAAATGGTCTTCTAGATGAGGAGCTTGAGGAGTCGATTGACGACTTCGATGAGGATGTTGACAATATACTTGAACAGCTCAAAGAAGGGGGAGATTTAGTACCAGGGTCTATGGCCCGCAAGAAAATGTGCAAAGGAGGCAATATTCTCGGACTCCTGACAGGGCGTCTGGCTTCATTCTCGGGTGATCCAACAACAAAGAATCTACTTCAGACCTTACTGCGTGATGCCAGCAGGCCTTACATGGCTATGTTGAACGAATGGTTGCACCACGGTGGTATCAGGGATCCCCACGCCGAGTTCCTGGTCAAGGAACAAAAATGGATCAAGCGCGAGAAACTTGAGGAGGACTACACGGACGAGTATTGGGAGAAACGTTACACGATTCGAGAGAACGAGGTTCCGCCTCAGTTGAAGAGCGTGCAGGATAAAGTCCTGCTGGCTGGAAAATATCTCAATGTGGTGCGTGAATGTGGTGGTGTCGACGTCAGCAAAGAGGTCAAAGATGTCCCAAAGACGCTCGACGATCCACGCTTTCTAGACAACGTAAATTCCGCCTATACGTATGCCAATGCCTCCTTGTTGAATCTTCTTGTCACAAAAAACTCCCTCACTACCCGATTCCGCTCCCTGAAGCATTACTTCTTCCTGGATCGCTCCGATTTCTTTTCCTACTTCCTCGAACTTGGTGCTTCTGAGCTACGAAAACCGGCACGTGCCGTCAACGAGGGCAAGCTCCAGTCACTATTGGATATTGTCCTTCGACAGCCCGGCAGTGTTGCAGCACTGGACCCGTTCAAGGAAGATGTTAAGGTGCGAATGAACAAGATCGGCCTCACAAAATGGCTCATGCAAGTCGTGAATGTTTCAGGTGTCAACCAAGATGGCGCAGAAGCGGAGAAGCAACAAGTCTCTGCCGTCCATTCCGCCGACGAGGACAAGGATATTCTTGGATTCGATGCGCTTGAGTTGGACTATTCGGTTCCGTTCCCTCTGTCTCTGGTCATTAGCCGCAAAACCGTTCTGCGGTACCAGCTTATCTTCCGCCATCTTCTATCGCTACGTCATCTTGAGACGTTGCTGGTCACGTCCTGGGCAGACCAAAACAAGACCACCAGCTGGAGACATAAATCCTCCGATCGACGGCTTGAAATATGGAAACGGCGGGCGTGGAACCTGCGCGCGAAGATGTTGGTATTTGTTCAGCAGCTTTTGTACTTTTGTACGGCCGAGGTCATTGAGCCCAATTGGGTGGGTCTGATGGATCGTGTCAACAGCGTCCACGCCGATGCGTCGGGGGTGGAGGAAAATGATATGAAGCAGGTCAACCGAACAGTTGATGAGCTGATGCAAGATCATGTTGATTTCTTGGATACATGTTTGAAGGAGTGCATGCTCACACAGGCTAAACTGTTGAAAGTACGTTTCTCTATATTAGCAATGATATTCTTACTAATGACTATATAGATCCATTCGAAACTCGTGACTTGCTGCACCATGTTTGCTTCCTGGACTGCGGCTTCACTTTCACGCGCCTTGGCATCAGCCGATCCCGACTTGGCTGGAGGCAAAGTCCCGGGCGCTGATGCCAGAGGATATGATCCGACGCGGATTGGAAAACTCGAGGACACACTGAAACGATACGAGGACCATTTCTCACGTCACCTCCGCATTTTGATGGACAGGTGGGTAACACCCTTTGGCATTCATATTACTCGGTTACGTGTTCTAACATGACTGTACAGCTTGAACTACTTCGCCGCAACGGAGAGTGTGGTGCTCCTGAAGCTTGCACACTCCCTGACCTCTATCAGCCGAGAGGAGAGTAAAGAGGATTGAAAACTTACAACCCCTTGGCCTGTGTCTTTTATACCTTGATATCGTTATCAACATAATCAACCCACGACAAGGATGCGGTTGGGTGCTCTGGCTATGGGCTCAAGAAACAAAGCGCTTCAGACCCATGATGTTTGCCAGCTGTCACCTGAATCGCCGCGATACCGAGACATATGACGTATGCCACGGACTTCGGATTTTGGATTGTCGAATGCCGCAGCGTGAGTCACCATAACCTCCAAAACGGGGTCCAAACGGGCTATATCGCACTCAATCAAGCCTCATCTGTGAGGTTGTGGAAACCCGCCAAACCACTGTACCTAGATCCATGAACCGAGTCATGCCAGACATCGGGATTAATGATAATACGAGTAGCATAGCGAAACGAAACCCAGATTTACAATGTTGAGTGTACTATGTATAGCCCTACCAAATTCCTGAAAAAGAACCGGAGCACGCGAATTCCTCGGGATCGCGTCAGCAAGCGGCTTCTCACGTCAGCCCCGGATTTGGCCCTACAGGATAAAGGTCATTTCTATTTAATTTCAAGACAATCTCTCTGATACTTGTAAAGACGAAAAATAAACATCAAACAAACCTCCAAACCCTGTATATGATCGACACAAACATTACAAACATGCCAACCTTCACCTCCGTCCTCCGCATCCCATTCCAACACACCGACACACCCCCAAACCGTGTAACCCTGGCCCTCAGCGCCGCAGCACTCCTCGTCTCGACCCTCATCCTCCCCGCCGCCTACCGCGATTACAAAATCTTCAAATCCTACGGACCCGGCGGGCCACCGAACAACGCGCTAGGATGGATTGTCGTGCGCGCGCTGTTCCAGCCCTTCGGGCGCGAGATGCTCAGCACGGACGAGTACGTGCAACGCATTGCGGCAGCCGAGGGCCACGGGAAGGGCGATGATGGGTTTTTGTTCTTATCCGAGGAGCAGTTGGGCGGTCGACGTGGGGAAGAACGGCCTGTTGTTGGACCGCATGTTGCACCGCAGAGACAGTTGACGCAGGTGCCGGATAAAGCTGTTATGGAGGTATGTTGTGGATCCTTTTTTTTTTTTTTTTTTTTTTTTTTTGGGGTGTTGGGGAAGAGAATGCGAGAAGTGAAGAGCTATTTGCTGATTATATTCTTTTGTGACAGAAATTCCGCTCTGCGTTTAGTGCCTTCGGACATCAGAATCATCACCTTGTGAAATTCCAAAAGTCGAATCTGGAGCGCCATGCTGATGGGCTCTTTGTCGCGGATCATATTCCTGTCTTTGGGATTGCGAAGACTATGAACCGTGAGATTGCGCATATTCACTCGGGCAATGACCACTCGGTTCATGTGATTCTTGCACCGGCTGATTGTATGGTTTTCTCCGTTCGTTCGTTTGGTGTTCGTGTGTTAACATTGCTGTCTAGGTATCAAAATTATCGAGGCTGGTTGGGGCCAGCGTCATGCTTTCTCCGGTACATCTGCGATGACATTTCTTTCGCTTGGTACGAGGCCCGATATCCCGGCGGAGTATGTTTTGATCTATGCGCCGCGGACGGAGGCGGAGATTGAGACGGTTATACAGATTGTTTCGGCGGGTGTTGAGTTTATGACGGGGAGGGAGGATGTGCGGTAGGTCGATGAGTGCTTTTTGTACTGACCTTATGTGTGAAAGGGTACTAGTGTTCTGAGGTGGATACATTCTTCTGGTGTATGCGTTGTGCTTGGTTTCTTCCTGTTCTGTGACTTTATATACCCCACTCTTCGATTTATCTGCTGTTTATATGAGCATATATGGCAGCGACATGCTTTCGCGATAAATGGCACACAGCAACTTATATTTATATACTTGCATAACTGAGACTACATACCACGGCAAGTATAGAGAGTATGCATACATTTTGATGTTAGTTAGTATTGTAGGTAACTATAAAGTAATACATACCTCACTCTTTATATATGCTCCCTCAAGTTCACTAAGTGATCTGTTGTCTTTCTCGTTCTCTAGGTTTGCTATATTTTACGTAACATATCCTGTCTCATGGTCCTCAATCCTGATTTATCACTTTGAATTCTTGTTGTATATAATTTCTCTATGCACATGGTGCAAGTAAAAATGGGCGAGCCTTATAGACCCCACCTATCCACTTCTATAAACTAGCAGATAACTATTAAAGGCTTCTTTGCTTCTGCATTTAATATACCCAAAACTAATAATCAGTGCAAATACCCTGGGTTGGCTCTATAGATATAAAATTAAGACACTATCATCTATATTAGTTTGAACCGAGCACGTAGTAAGAGTGCCTTTGCCAGAGCCCACCCGCAACAGCCTAAATAAATAGTATTGCGATGTGAGAAGAGTGTGAAGGAATAATACTTCATAAATGGATGTTCTGGCAGATATATATTTTTCGTATTGTTATATCAATGGATTTTGTTAGGCGTAATATATATCAATAGTGGGTCTCATATTGTATGGTCCTACGGAATCTGCCGACCATCATGCGCTATTGGTACTAGCATGCAATTTTTTTTCTCTTCTGTTGCACTAGCACCTTAGGTAGTACAACTACTACACTTATACATAATTGCATCTATAGTGCGATTCCACGCATATGGCTAGCGGGACCGAAGGAATGGTCAAGTCCGTATTAAGTAGACAAAAAAAAAATAAAAAAATAAAAAAAATATCAGATCATCATTCTTTGTTTCATCTTACAACGTAACATCGTAAAAGGTATGGCTTGGCGGAAGTCATCACGCCCGATTTGGAAGGCGAACCAGTGTGTTTGGGGCTATGTATGAATGCGCTAATTAAGGGGAAGTTTTTTTTTAAAAAAAAGTTACCCGTTATGTCCCGCTTTGGATTCCAACTTCCTTTTTTTTGGTTAAATAGGAGAGACCTTTAAAATGCTCAGAGGAATGATATCCAAGACTCCAGGTTGAAGCTCAAAAAGTTGGGTAGGCGGCCCCCTTACCCGAGAGATGAACCATGGCGCTGGGTGAGCCAACGGCGGAGCCGGACGGGTAGGCCCTGTCGAAATCCCGACACTATGGAACTTCGTATATTGTATGTGTACTTTGTAGGTCGTCTCTTTCTTCTGCTCTCTTGTGCTTCAGACCGAAGAGGGGGCTCTTTTCTGACTTGTGAACCTAAAACAGTGATCGGTCCACGTATTCTTCTAAAATGGACCCGGGTTTATAACCGTAATCAGAATGGAAGTAACCTGCCCGTTTTGACATATCACCGTCGTATAATCATCGCCTATTAACTGTTCTGCGAGGGATGACTCTATGCACCAGTCTTGGACATCTGTACCCTGTAACCACAAATGCAAGTACCAGATCCTTGCATTTGACATGGATTGCCGGTGCGGCCATGAAGTGGGACCCGATCATCTCGGAGAATTGACCCAGGGTGAAGAAAAACCAGGGGTATCAAGGAGGTACCAGGCGAGTTGAGAATAATATTTTCTGGGTGGATTCGGACACTAGAGTGGATACTGCCCACATGTATGTTGTAAGTAATTGCATACTCTGAACTTTCTCCCGAGGCAATGAATGTCCTCATCCACATCCACATCCATATTCTTTCCCGCTGTCCGGCACTTGCCTTAGTAGCAAGTACAATGCAACCAAGGCAAATCCCTATGAGGCAAGCTTGATAAGTATCCAGAGAAAGAAGAAGAAGGGCGAAACAGTAATGTCAATCCGTTGCCCCGGGGGTACTTCTGTCAGATTGTTTCGGGAGCGATCCGGAGACGGCTAAAAATCCCTGTAGAAAATCTCCATGCCCGCCACTTGCGCCAACAAAGTTGGAATCTTGGAACGCAAAACTCTCCAGACAAGCGGTGAGAGCAAGAGCGAAACAAGAGGGGCAAGAATAAAACCCACCATCCTAAATCAAACCCACCAGAAATCCCGAGGAAATGGATGCCCCAACGAGGAAGTCGATGATCCTGCCCGTCGAACCCCACTCAAGTTGAGGGGCCATTGGAGCCATTTTGGTCGCGAGACCGGGACTGAACAAGCCACTAGGCACCCACAGTACTGCACATTGGCCCGAGGACACGGGCGAGAGAGTATTGGAAATTCGTCGCCAAGCTGTTTCGTTCAATGTTGGTTAGTTTTTAGTTTCATTTCTTCATTAAAGTGACAGCGGGAACCGGCGGTGATCCCTTGTCATGCCTTTGGAATTGGCAATGCAGGGCTCAATTGGCATGTACAACGCAAGGGCTGGTGTGAATCCCAACCCCACGGGGTTGTTCTCTCTTCTTCTCGGTCTGCTCTATCATAACCAATTCCTCAATTTTTCTTTTCTCCGTATGGCGTCCCACGTCGCACAGCGGCTGCGTTGTTGTTGTTTCAACCTCATGGCGAGATGCTGCATAATTTGGTTCAATTGATGGGTGGGTTTGTTTCCTTTCATTCTTCACTAAGGTCCTTGTTACATTGTTGTTCGCTGGTGAAATCCTAGAGACTCGTGGAGTCATGGTGAGCTGCCCGAGGAAGGTGTGATTCAATTTTCTGTAGACTTGCCGACGACAGTCGCGGAATTACCCAACATGTTTAGCTTCGCGACGATACTTGATGGGGGTATGGAGATCCCAGTCAGATTCAGCGGCGTGGCCGGATTTGTACTCGATCCACACCGTCGGGCGCCCTTAGACCCTCGAGGAAAGTAGGTACTATGCGAGACGGCGAACTGTGCATTAGTTAACGGCACTGCCGCCTACTTTCAAGGTTCATTAGTTTGACTTTAAGCAGCGGACCTGAGTCAAATCTATTCTGATACTTACCAATTCTGGTGTCAATCGCCCGGGATTATTTGAGAACCACTCTTCGGCTACTCAACCGACCCGCATTTTTTTCTTTCGTCAAGCCTTGGTTGACGTACGAGGGTCATCCAGTAGCAACAAGAGCCTCCTGCGCAGAGCGTCTCAGGCCATCTTTAGTAGTTCCGCTAGCAAAAATGCGAGGGGCCCCTTTCGGGGTTGGCCCCAAAGGAACCACATGAATGATCCGGAGGGAAATTAGGAGCCCGCATTGATGGTATTTGGTTACTACCCATGCAGACTCCATCCGTGTTAAATATTCGACCGTTAAGCACCCCGTGTCTTCACAAATCAGGTCGTGCATCTGGTGTGATCTTTAAAAGAGGTAATTCGATTGAGTGGACCGCTTGGCCATCCCCGTTCGTACATTTTGGTACGTATAATTAGAAGCCCCTCCATACAGCCTTCGCGAGCAGACGCCCAAGGGCGAATGATCCTCGCGCGAGCCGCCATCCTCTCCGTGGGTACCGCCGACGTCTTCAAGCGGCGCCCGATCTCTCCCATGAAACTCCCAGCACATCAAATTTCACTCCTTTTTCGGATATTGTGATTTGAAGCACGATCTTGCACTCGGAGAATTCAACCCCGCCCTGGCCAGACAAATCAGGATATACCAACGCAGATTTTCCTCTTCGTCCACAACACCACTTGATTCAGGAGTGACAATGGCGTATGCTAGTTCTTCCCGTTGTTCTTTCGGACCAAGGGCAACTGACGTTGATGGCCGCCAGGAGCCCCGATTCACAAACGATAGAATTAGACCGTGAATATCTCGATACGATCACAGTTCAGGGCCGTGAATATCAGAAATATTCGATCGATCATCGTACGTACTTTGGGCCGGTCGATGAGGTAAGACGTTCAGGTTTTCATCGTTGTCTTCTCACTGACAGCTGAACCAGGAAGAAGAACAACAACTCGAAGACCAGCAACAACTCTTCCACAGAATTTTCGATAATCGTCTGATCTTCCCACCAATCCGTCGACTGAAAAGAGTTCTGGACTGTGGGCATGGATCTGCATCCTGGGCCGTTGATGTTGCTGAGCAGAACCCTGATTGCGAAGTGAGATGTCTCTTTGATTGCGCCCGACAACATCCTAACATTTGGTGGCTCATAGGTCATCGGCGTAGACATTGCCCCTCACATGAGTCCAGACGACATGCCTGACAATTTATGGCTTCAGGTAAGTCAACCAGTCTCACATCTCACCACCGAGCACGGTTTGGTTTACACCATGAGAGGGCTGTAATGCTGCCTCTTACCCATGCCTTGTGCTTCGTGACCTTTGTTTAATCCTTCAATCTTGAACAAAAGTTCCGTTCAGGTGTGTACCATCCTGCAAAGCAGTCGCTAACTTGTGCCGAATAGGTCGACGACTTGAACCGCCGTTTCACCTTTCCTGCAAACCATTTCGATCTTGTCCATTCTAGACTCCTTGCGACCGGCATCAATCGATCCCGATGGCCATCCTATCTTCGTGACATAGTCAGGTGCGAGTCCTCCAGAGCTGATTGACCTTGTCGTAACTCCAAGAGGCAAGAGTCCTACAACCGAAACCCAAGGGCTAACACCAGCGGTCGTCAAGGGTCCTGAAGCCAGGAGGTTGGGTCCAGATGGTGGAAATATACTTCAATGTTCAATCTGACAACGGCTCAATCACTGATGAGCATGCCTTGAGGAGGTGGAGCACACAATACCTGCGTGCTCTGGAGGATAGGAAAGATCTTCGGATCGGATCGAAGCTGAGAACTCTCATGACTGAGGCGGGGTTTGTCGAGGTGGATACGAAGATGATTCCTCTTCCTCTGTCTGCGTGGTCGACTGGTTGGTATTTGGTTGCCCAAGATGAACGAACGAGACTGATTGATTCAATGCAGACCAGCGGATGCGAGACATCGGCCGACACAGCTGTGCAAACATGCAGCAACTGCTCCGCTCCCTCGCACTATACCCATTGACTCAACGTCTGCATATGGCTCCGGATACTTTCAATGCTTTAGTGGACCAAGCACAGCAAGAGGCAGCCGACCTCACACTGAAGGCATATTTCCCACTGTAGGTATTGTCCCAACATGAAACCAAGAGACAGAGTCTGACAGAGCAGATATGTGTGCATTGGCAGAAAGCCATAAAGGCATCGATCTGGGCAAACCGGCAGATATGATGGCTCGATAGGGGTGACCTCTTGCGGAAGAAAACATATAGCTCGCAAGATGGGGCCCGTTGTTGATGCCGACCCTCCTGCATTCTGCATCCAACATATTCCAGCATATTGTACAGCTTTTTGTTGTGTTGCTCTTCGCATCCCACTTGCATCCACATATTGCATTAGCGGAAAGATGGTTAGTCGAATGAGGTTTTTTTGATTGCACCTGTTCTTTCCTTTTGCCGTTTGTAATGCATTAGGTACCTATATCCCACCGTCGCTGTATGTTTGCTGAAGCCCAGTGGACCTTGGGAATCCCGGTATGATCCATCCAAAGAGGACTGCAGGGTCGCGCAGAAAACGAACGGGACGCCTCAATGGCGATTGGAATCAGAGAATGCTCGTAGTCATGCGCATCACGGTTCCTCAGAAGCTAACAATTCTCACATGCATCAAGTCTTGGCCTTTTAGAGCCTCGTATCCACTCGAGATCGGTATTGGGTTACTGCCCAACGCGGTGGGAAAGTGGAGGTGCATTGAATGAAACTCGGGGTTGAGGCATCGCTGTCGCTGCCTAGGGTAAGTTGAACTTTTAGTTGACTGCTTCTAGACAGAATGGGAGTGAAACGAAACAGGAGAGGACTCGAGAGGGTTTGAGAGCAGGAAGCTTGGGGGTGCAGATTAAGCTGTTGAGATCGTGCCCAGTGCGCGATACCCGACACCGTTGGACCCGATCTGACCTTACCCTTTAGAGAAGGATGTTTCCGACCCCATCATACTCCAAGATGTAACTGATCAGCGAAGTGACAAAAGACGAAGAACGCAGAGGAAGATGAAACAGGAGGGGACTTAACCGAACTGACGGGAGAGCCAGGGAACCACGGAATTTCAGGAACACATGATTTACACCCGTCTCAGGCGGTATATACGCTTTGACTGACCTCAATGTCAATACCAGCTGTTAACGAGTCCATACCAACTTGACAATTTGACAGCCTCGCGCCATTTCCATCATGCCTGCACACCACCAGGCCTTCATATCTTGGGAGCAGACTCGCCTCATATTGAGAGTGATGGCCCCGAGCGGCAGGGAGCTCCCTCAAGTCTCAATGAGCTACCACAACGTCCGTTACACATTAAGAAACATCCATTTCCGTGTCTTACCGGTATTCTTTATGCGGCAGGAGCTCTAATAACCAATACACTCTGCCGTGTTTCCCGTACGGATTTGATGCCCAATCACAACATCCAAAACACCAACAAGTAGGAGTTTACATGAGCAGAACTGCTGCATATAGGGAGATAACTAACGCTGGGTTCTCGTTGATTTGTTGATTTCCTTTTCCCTTACTCGGGAAGAGGCCATGCCGCCTCTTAGTGTCCGATTAGAGTTCCTCCGGCATGCCCCTGTGTGAGAGCGACGCTAGCTCGATGAATTGCGGTATTTCAATTGCCGAAAAGACCCACAGAAGCTCGACATGGCTCAGGTACATACTCTCCTCTTTATGGGTGTATTGGGGAGCGACCTTGAGGCGACCATTGGGCACAGACCTGCCCGAGAATTGTACCTATCGCATGCAGTCTTTGTGATTGGTCTCCTCCAGGGGCTCTGAGGCCAAAACAGCCATGGAGGGGAGAATTCAGTCTAGACAGCTTCCAGCTTCGATTGGTCCCGATCATTTATGGAAGATTGGTGCTTGGAAATCCTATACTAGTCTTTTTTATACACGTGGAAATCGCCGAATACTTTTCCCATGATCCATCTCCATTTTCATTTGTATTTCCTGATACGGAAAACTGAGTCCAAAGTGCCCCTGCTATATGCCGATAATTATTGGCCCCCAACTTGAACTATTCTTAGTAACTGTTGCACTCTGTACTTCCACAGCGGGAATTAGCGTAGAGCTAGCTAAGAGGAAGATACGCAGGCTTGACCCCCGATCTAGATACGGTTGGTGCCCGATATATAAGGCATCAACAACTACCCAATCGGGGAAAGCGGGGAGAAAAAAAGTTGGCGCGGATTTTCATTTGAGCTCCGGAACAGTCGCCATTTCTTTTTCTTGATCCAAGTCACCACCAACAAGATGCCTTCAACACACAATAAGGAAAAGGCCTGGGATACAGATGATATCGATAAGTGGAAGGTAAGCCAATACACACACCTGCTGTCTTTTTTTTTTTTTCACCAGCGGAAAAACCTTACTGACGGATCCTCGCACCAGATCGAAGAATTCAAACCGGAACACAATGCCGCGGGCAGTTTCGCCGAGGAGTCGTCTTTCATGACACTATTCCCCAAATACCGTGAACAGTACTTGAAGGAAGCATGGCCGGTGATTACAAGAGCGCTGGAGAAGCAGGGCATCGCCTGCACACTGGATTTGGTCGAGGGTAGCATGACAGTGAAGACAACGCGAAAGACCTACGACCCAGCAGCGATCATCAAATCCCGGGATCTGATCAAGCTACTTGCAAGAAGCGTACCGGTGACACAAGCGATGAAGATTCTCGAAGACGGCGTGGCATGCGACGTGATCAAGATCCGCAACCAGGTGCGAAACAAAGAACGATTCGTGAAGCGACGACAGCGCATTCTCGGCCCGAACGGTTCAACTCTCAAAGCGCTCGAGCTGCTCACTGGCACATACATCCTGGTTCAGGGTAACACGGTAGCTGTGATGGGTCCGTTCAAGGGATTGAAGGAGGTGCGACGCATTATCGACGACTGTATGGCGAACATCCACCCGATCTACCACATCAAGGAGTTGATGATCAAGCGCGAGCTCGCCAAGGACCCGACGCTGGCGGAAGAGTCCTGGGACCGGTTCCTGCCTAACTTCAAGAAGCGCACGCTGTCCAAGCGCCACGTGCCGTTCAAGGTTACCGACAAGGAGAAGAAGACGTACACACCGTTCCCCCCTGCGCCGGAGAAGAGCAAGGTCGATTTGCAGATCGAGTCTGGAGAGTACTTCCTGTCAAAGGAGGCCAAGGACCGCGTTCACAAGGAGGAGGTTGTCGAGCGACAACGCCTCAAGCGGGACGAGAAGATGCGCGAGCGCGAGAAGGATTTCGTTGCGCCCGAGGAGGTGACGCCGGTCGACCTCGAGGAGAAGCAGAAGAAGAAGGAGAAGAAGGAAAAGAAGGAAAAGAGCAAGCGGAAACGCGAGGCCGAGGAGAATGTCGATGCCGACGAGGCTGCCGAGCGCAAAGAGAAGAAGAAAAAGAAGAAGAGCAAGTCCAAGGAAGCTTCTTCCGATGGGGAATGATCTGCTATTTAATTGTGGTATCGGTATCTTGTATCGGAATTGGCGCTTATGGCAGTGCATAGGTCTGGCGTTTAAATGTCTTGTCTCCTGGTTCTCCGTTGCAACGTTGCAACCCGTGTACGCCCCAAGCCGGTGTGTACATTCACAAAAAATATTGTTCAATACCAATAAATGATCTATTCTTCTTCTACTCTGCGCACTATTTTTAAAACGATAGTACATTTCTTCATTCATCTAATCAACGACGGGTTGTGTGCGGTAGACGTGCGCTTTATGTTGGATTTCCCATTGCAGCCGCGACATGTATTTACAAAAGGCATCAGAGTATGCCCCAAGCCGCTGTGTCTCTATCTACAAACAGCAGAAAAAGTCTACCACTCATGAAATATCTGAAAACAGTAGTTCAGACGGCCGCAGAAGTCTCATCGGAGGACGACGACGTACTAGCATCCAACTGACGTAACTTATCCAACAAGAACCTCTCCTGCTCTACCTGGCTCTTCTTTAAATCAACACCCCAGAACAGGATCAAAAAGCTGACAACACTCAACGCAAACAAGAAGTAGAATGGCGTCGAGGCATTGCCCGACGGACTCGCATCGATAATTGCACTTGAGACGAGGGGACCAATAAAAGACGAAGTTTTTCCAATGATGCTGAAGAGACTGAAGAATAGGAATTCGTGGCCGCGGGGTGTGACTTCCGATATCATGATTTGCGAGTAGCTGTACCAGGGGCAGATGAAAAGGCCGTAGAACGCTTGGTATACCTATAGGATCGATGCAATTAGATATAACTGCTCATATGGCAGAGTGGGATTGACATACCCAGACTTCCCATGCATTGTGGAAGCCGAACTCATTGGTCCAGATACCGATCATGCCCCAACCATCAAGTAGGATGATTCCAACGGCGATGGCGTTGAACATTGTTTTGGTTCCGAGCCTGAAGCGTTGCTGGATTGTCCAGAATGCGTATATGCCAACCGCCTAAGAGATACCTGTCAGTTTGTAACAAATTCGCCTAGGAAATTAAAGCTCACCTGTGCAGCAATACCAACGATAAGCAGATATGTTAATTCCAACGTATTATAAGCAACGATGCTATTCTGTAAAGTTCCAATAACAGTCACAGTAGTGTTGAGAGAATCCCCAAGTAAGAAATAACCTATTGCCAGCACCGTTAGCACCCAATGAGTAAACGATAGACATAACTAGTGAAAAACAGTCTTACCAATCAGATAGATCAGACTCTGCTTTAAATGCCAGATCTGCTTCATAGCATGCCACAGTTGCCAAATGCCCGCAACGAGAATAGAGCGTTTCCCAGGGTCCTGACCGGGACGGCGTTTCTCAAGAATAAACCACGGAATCGAGACAAGCAACCACACACCAGAGACGAATGCAATCAGCACACTCAGTCCCCAGTTGTTATTGCTCTCGCTATCATTGACTTTCAATCCAAACATGATTCCCACAATAATCGCCAGAATAAAGATCTCCGCGACGGACTGGACATAGAAAGCGACGTTGGCAAGTTTGCTGCGCATCATGGTATCCGCATAGTCGTATTCATCACGAGTAATCGTCCCCGCGACATATTCGTCGGCTTTTTCCTTCAATTCAAGTGAATTGCGCGCCAAGCCCGGGAATGCAGCAGTCCAGAAAGTGAGTGTAGTCTGATAGGCGATCAAACCGACCATATACAGGCCAACCGCGACATGCCATTTGTCCGAGGTATGGACACCTAACCAGCCAAAGCCAATGGCATAGGCAATAATTGACAGTCCGATCAAGATGTTGGGTCGCCAGTAGCCAAAATCGGCGAAACTGCCAATTACTAGGAATACCACGACTTGGATCGCGAAGGAGATTCCATTTGAGAGGAGCACGATGCTGTTGACCGTACGAGGTCTGCCGATAAAGTGGAGTAGGCCATCGGAAGGGGCTGCTTGGTAGAGCAGGTTTTGGAAAGCAGTTGGCGCGAAGTCTAGAACGGGTCAGCTTCGGCTTCCATTTGCCTGAATTAGGGTCTTCTGAGAATGCGGATAGACCCACTGAATAGAGACAAGCCATTATTTCCAATGTAATAGCTGCAGTCATGGTGTTTAGTCTGTGCACATGGCCAATTCAACAATCCACGCACGCATAATAGGCCCAGATTTCCATCCGGGTGGTGCGGTATCTCTCATCGAATTGATCTGGTGCAATTGGCTGATCGATCTTGTTTGAGGGAAGACCATCCACCTCCGCAGTGGAGTGGACATCGTCTTTGGGCTGATCCCGGTGCATGACTGAGGAAGAGAAAGATGGAAGGACCAGAGGGTGAAGAAGAAAAAAAAACCGTAACGGAAAGAGACGATTTAAACGAGCAGCCGGCCTAGCCCCGTGTGTCAAACCCTCAGTTTGAGAGGAACCAGTTGCATTGCAATGAAAGTGCCGATCTCGATAAGCTGGATGTGGTCGGACTGAACTATATCGAGTCGGGTCTAGTCAGTGCTTGACTACTTTATCTCGTCCTATCACATCGTCGACGTTCTCAGCTTCCGCATTTGGTGTGGTTTTCCAAGGTGGGTGGCGTTTAGAAATAGACACCTCGTTTCTCAGGCCAACAATAGGGCTCGAGGATCGTACTGCAATAATTACGAACTGTAGTGAGAAATGGATATTGGTCACTTTGCATCTGGGCAGCGAGTCGCCAGAAATTAATTAATCGTGACATACCAACAGAATCTGGGGACAGGCTCTAGATAATAGGTTGGCACTCATTTCCACCTGTCGCTTAGGACCTGGGGCACTCGGCTTCTTAGATATGAAGGCAAAAGTCGTGTCTTTCATACCAAGTGCAGCCCATAGGCTACAACGATGTTGCATGGTAAAAATGCGAGAGGACTACTCATTCATACTTCCATCACAAATCACGACGACCCGGGCCATGCTAGGAAGAACCCTAACTTCATACCCATCCCCCATCCCCAGCGTGCACATAGATCTGGATCCACTTCACAGCACAGCAGTCAGACTAGAGCTGCGGTTGTCACCACGTGAGGTAGGCAAGCGAGATCGGGTGTTGCTGTCACGAGAACAAGTCATGCAAGAACGAGAACCGGCGACAATGGTCGTTGCACAAAAACAACCTTGTCCAGCAACGGCGTTACCTGCGCGCCATTTCAAAAACACGCAAGGAGGGCCGCTTTAGGATATAGGGCGAAATGTTAGGAAGCTGTCCATGACGTTCTCGTGCTACTTACAGCTCGATGTCGGCGAATATGTCGAACTCCTTGGGAAAGAATTGTCCATCTATCTATTAGAGTCACACCTTCCTCATGGGGTTGCTAGGCACTTTCCTTTTTCTGTTGAAGTTGCCCTGTCTAGGTATAGGGCTGATGTGCAATATCACTCCATGGATATGAAGCCTGGAGAAACAAGAGTAATGAAGTGAGAGATACCTGAGAGATAGGTGAGCGACTAGAAGTGATTGGTATAAATAACTCCCAGAATGTGTAAAGGTGGTGTAGAACTCTCCATATCATCATCTGTTGTTGTTCAGTTTGGAGTAAGCTGCATTTAGTAAAAGGGCAAAATAAACACAGACCTTAGAAAGCCCGCCGGTACCAACGGGTTTATTGCATTATGCAGATAGTTTTAGTTGCATATATCCATGGCGCCCAACTTACAATAACTGGTGGAATCTAAGAATACAATGAGGTACGCATGCCTAACAATAGGTAAATATTCCCGTTATCGGTTCTCGCTGATGAGAAGTTTGCTAGGCAAACTTGCTTTGTGAGAAGAAGGAAAAAAGTATAGAAGGGTGGAAACTGGTAGTGCATTCCACTCTTTGTTCTCACAGAGAGCAAATACTTCTGACTCGGATATAAAAACTTCTCATTTTCCTCCTACAAAGTTCTTTCTTTTCTACATGGAACTCCACCCTTATTTATATAGTGAAGCATGTCCTTCTCAATCAACTTGGTAGTTGCTGTGCCTCACTTTATAGTACCAGCAAGTCATACCACCCTTCATTTTTCCACGATTACTATGTCGCTTTTGATAGGGAATCCAGGCCCTGTGCCCCCTTCATTTGATGCCCCGGAGCGTTGTTAGCCCCGCGCTTCGCCAATACCTACGGTTGAGATCACAGCAGAGCTCATAAATTTGATACTGGAAAGGGCTCCATTGGATACCTGAGTCTCCAGATTCTGGTCGATTATCCTCCCTGTTTATAAACCTTCGCTCTGAAAGTTGAAGAAGCAAGAAGGTTCACAATCATAGAAAAATTTAACATCCCACGAATATAAAGCAATGGCGTAGATCCCCACGAAATGGCCACCGAGTCAGTGAATACATTGTACTCGAGAATAGGGTTGCTAGTGGTATAAATTATATTGATATGGATCAGAGGCTGGTTAAAGTAATATAACATAACTGCATGGTCATCAGATCTTATACACACAAAAGTCTCTTGTATAGTTTATGCTTTCCACCTTCATACACACCTAAAAGGACATCTTAAAGGACATGACAGCCAACTATTCTTATATTTCATTAATAGCCTAACTTCATCCATTTTCGACTCTGATGTCACGCACAAGGAGAACTCGAACATCTAACCACTAAGCGAATGAAACAAAGAATACTCAGATCTAACAATATTGCGAGATAAAGACTTAGAATTGTTACTTTTGATATAACGTACAAGGAAACCATGTGCTAACTTATAAGTATAATTTTAACCGTGGTAAAAGTAGTAAACAAAAGTAAGAAAATATTACATAAAAACTAGCCGATCACCGACCATCAATGAGTGAGTATCATCCAACCAATCACTCCGAATCGCCCAGGGAAAATGACATGCTTAGAAAGTGAAAGCAAGGGCGAGAGCAACCACCAGGGCACCGGCAGCAGAGCCGGCGACACGGGTGGCAGAGCTGGAGGAAAGGGTGGGGGAGGCGGAGGCAGAGTCGGAGGAAGAAGAGCCGGAACCAGAACCGGAACCGGAACCGGAGCCAGAGGCAGAAGATCCTGAGCCCTTGTTACCACCAGTGGCGGTAGCGGAGGATCCAGAGGCAGTGCTGGAGGCGAATCCGGAAGCGGAGGCAGAGGCAGAGGCAGAGGCAGAAGCAGAAGCGCTCTTGGACTTGGGCTTGGTGGAGGGGCGGACACCGGGGGTCACAGATGGGAAGGAAGCACCGGCGGAGGAGGAGCCAGAGCCACCAGAGCCGGAGCCGGAGACACCAGAGCCAGAGCCAGAGCCAGAGCCAGAGCCAGAGCCAGAGCCAGAGCCAGAGCCAGAGCCAGAGCCAGAGCCAGAGGAAGAAGAGCCGGAGCCGGAGGAAGAAGAGCCAGAGCTGGAGCCAGAGCCAGAGCCAGAGGAAGAAGAGCCAGAGCCGGAGGAAGAAGAGCCAGAGCTGGAACCAGAGGCATCAGAGCCGGAGGCGGAGCCAGTGGCGGAGGCAGAAGCGCCGGAGACGACACCAGACTTCTCGGCGATACCGGCACCCGAGGTGCTGGAGGAAGAGGCGGCAGAGCTGGAAGATGTAGAGGCCTTGCAGCTCAAGTCGTACAGAGGGGTGGTGTCGGTGGAGGAGCCAGTGACACCGAAGCTGGGGGCGGTAGTACCGGCATCCTCGAGGATGTACCACCAGGTGTTGGTGACTCCCAGCAGAGGGCAGGCAACTTCGTCCCAGTACTGCTTGGCGTTGGCGACGTTGGCGACAGCCTGGTTCTCGGTGGCGCCGGTAGTGGGCCAGCCAGTCTCGGTGATCCAAACCTCCTTACCGCCGGCGACAGCCTTGGTGTTCGAAACGCCCTTGTTGAAGAGGGCCTTGGCATCGTCGATGGAGTTGGGGTCGGTGTTCTCGTAGTAGGGGTATCCATCGAAACCGAGCCAATCGACGGCCTCGATAACGGCAGAGTTGGAGCCGTTGGTCCATGAGTTCCAGGTGTCGACGTGGCCGATGGGGGCACCGCTCAGGGAAGTACCGGAGATGGCGGAGCGGACCTGGTTGATGTAGTCGACAAGCTCGGTGGGCTCGACACCAAGACCGGCTTTGGCCTTGACACCGGTAACGGAGTTACGGTAAAGATCCTCACTGCCGACGGAGATACCGACGACCAGGTCTGTGAAGGCATCGCCGTAGGTGGAGATGGCGGTTTTGAGGGCAGCAATCTCGTTGCTCATGCCACCACCGGAAGCCCAGAGGCCGAGGAGAAGAGTGGTCTTCTCCTTGATAGCGGCGGGGATGGCCTCAATGGGGCCGTTGGTAGTGCCACCCTGGATCATGGTGTACAGACGGGCACTGGTGAAGGCATTGTCGGTTCCAACAAGGTTCTTAGCAGTAGAAAACTCGGTCTCGAAGTCGGATTGGGTCTTGAGGCTGCCATCAACCTTGAGAGCACCGTAGTTGAAACCCTGAGAGACGGCCTCGGAAGTAGCGACGGCCATCGCGAGGGCAAGGAATTGAGCGGAACGCATTTTGAATGTGTTTAACGAGTGTTGATAGTGAATGAGAATAAGATGAAAAAAAAAAAACCTGGAATAAAAGAGTGTAGCCAGGAAAATTCGAAAAGAAAAGATGAAGAATAAAGATGAAGGTGAAAGTGAAAGTGGGAAATGCAAACGGAAGAGAAGTAGCCCTCTAAAGGCCCTCTAAAGAACAAAAGCAAGGTTAGTTCTGGCCATGAAAATTCAGTCTAGATTCCGCCACAGTGTAGTTTTGTGGATTATGTGGGTCAAAACACGTTTGCTTGTCCACTTTAACCCTGTTTTAAACCCTCCGATTGGCTGAGATGAAAATTGATTGATTCCAAAAATATGCATGAGCAGTGGGTCCTGGTGAATCCATGGATCCCAAGACTGCATTCGATGATTTTGCCCGATCTCCCCGGATACTTCCATCCGTCTTTGGGAGTGAAGCGTTACCCCGATCATTCACATTTTGAACCTAAATAAAAGTCATACCTTTTCATTTGCTGCAATTAGTATTAGTATGTTTATAATGTAGTGGGTCGGAGACAACTTGGAGTCCCCCGTAGGGAGTAAACCCTAAGCACTAGAGGAATATAACAGAGACACCCTGGTGGAGAATAGGTATCATTGCATGACCGAGGTCATTTCAAGGGTTCCATCAGGGGTTTACTAATCTCCCCTATACAACACTGCCCAGGTGGTCTATTATTAACCAACCCCTTTTAAGCTCAACCCTTGATAGATCATGATCGGCCGGTAGGGGGTATCGTGACGTCGTAATCTACGGTGTACTCCGTACTCTATGCCTTTGTCGAGTCAAGATGTCAAACAATGGCATTTAAACAGATTTATGTAATTACGTTGTATCATTCCATCCAGCACATCCAGATGACTCCTTACTCTATATTATAATTTTATCCAATCACATTAATTAATATGTATCGTAGTTCGAGCTACCCATGGCCAAGTCAATATTGACTGATCTTAGTACTCTCAAGATAAATAAAAATATATTATAGTTTGGTGGTTCACACACACTTTGTGTTTGTAGGTTAATGTCTTATTAGCGTAGCTTAATGTCTTATGTGTCTTATCGATCTTGTTGAAGTTTGAGTGTGATGATATTTTAAGAGGTGGAAGGCTGCTAATAAGAAAAGTATTTCGTAGTGAATGGTTATTATTATCCCTTATGACTAGCTTTTGCGAAACCACATGATTTAGAGGCCTCGAGTCATCCGTGACTATATTATTACTACTACTAGTAATACCGAAGACTGGAAAGTAGCATGATGTGACGATTATTCTAAGTAGACTCATTTTGTTCCTTTGACTGTGTGGGTCGACTCTTTCTAGATATATTTCCCATTTACTTTATCTTCTGAAATGGATTGATTATTTCTTAGATAAAGGGGCCTCGATGTCCACCGGTCCATGCTTTTAGGTACCCAACACAAGCCTTTTAGGCTTACCCCTATCATCGCCCCCGAGATCCAAACCCACATTACAGTCTCACATTGAATCGACTAACTGGTAGCCACCAATTTGTAGTTCACCAACATTTGTTATAAACAATAATTGGCCTTCATGTATTTTTTTCATTGCTATATTTAGCAACTGATCAGCTATCTGCGATAACCAACTGGAAGGTGGGGTAATTTTGTCCACGGAACATCGAAAGGTGTCCCAACTTTCTTTTCTCTACATTAATCTGAAAGTATGACAATCACAAAGGAAAAGGTCCAAGAGATCTTGAACAAAACTGCCCTCCGCTCTCGAGGCCCAGGAGGGGCCATCGCTGTCGTCAAAGATGGCGAGGTCATCGGCCAGCGCGTCTGGGGATTCGCTGACGTGGACCAACGAATTCCCATGACATCCCAAACGCAACTACCCATCTGTTCAATTACCAAACAGTTTGTGTGTGCACTATTGATTGACCTGGAGCGCAATCCGACCCCAACTTTAGCTGCAAAGGGCGATGTCCGGAAACAGCTGTCAGATCATCTCGTGGAAATACTAAGCCCGGAGCTCACACGTGACGGCGAACTGACACTTGATCGGCTATGCGACATGCAATCCGGTATGCGCGACTACTGGGCTATGACCACACTGTGGGGATCCAAGCCCGACGACGAGTTCCTGATAGTCAGAGACTGTGGTCCACTGCTTGCCCGAACCAAGTCATTCCACTTCCAGCCGGGAACGGAATATTCCTACTGCAATGTCAACTTCCACGTGCTTGCCCGAGTAATTGAGCGTGCTACTGGAGAGTCTCTTGGCAAATTGCTTGAAGAGCGAATCCTCCGACCGGCTGGTATGAGCACGGCATTCCTTTGTCCGAACACCGCACAACACCCACCACCATGTGTTGGGTATGAGGGTGACGAACAGCATGGTTTCACAGCAGCTGTTAACAAAATGGAATGGTCTGGTGATGCTGGATTAGTGGCCTCACTCACTGACATGATCGCGTATGAGAAGTATCTTGATCGCTGTTACGCTGATCCACAAAGCTGGTACCACACCGCTATTGTTGCTCCGAAGTTCAAAGATGGTACTCCTGCGAAGTACCACTATGGGCTGAGTCACACTGATATCGAGGGCGTGAACACGATCGGACATGGTGGAGCGTTGCGAGGGTATCGACTGCACCGGCGACACGCACCACGCGAGCGGTTGTCCGTTGTCGTTATGTTTAACAGTGATGCCGGCGCATTCAGCCCCAACATTGATATCTTCCGAGAGCTCTTGGAACTACCCAAGCCTGTGACAGCGTCCGTTCAGGCTGATGCGGGTTGGGTCGGCGCGTTCCTTGATCAAGATACCCAGCTGTCGATTGTAATCACCAAGGGCACACGGGACGGAGAGGTGGCCATCAGCTATGACGGCGCCGCCGATACTATCAAGCTTAGCACGCCTAATCATGGGAAGTCTGATTCAGCAGTCGCGACGATTCGTGGAGATTCCTTGAGTATTCATCGTGTGGGAGATAACCGTATACTTAGTGCTCGGCGTATTGTCCCAAAAGAATCAATCCTTAAAGGGACTGCATTCCAGGGTGTCTACCACTGTGACGAGATTGAATCTACCTTCCATTGCATTGGCGAAGATGGCGTGCTATACGGTGCGTTTGACGGATATCTGGGTCAAGGAAATGCAACTCCAATGAAATATCTGGGAGATGATGTCTGGGTCTTGACTTGTCCACGTGGTTTGGATGCACCAGCTCCCGGAGACTGGACCATTGTCTTTTCTCGGGGTGAACATGATGCAATCCAAGGATTTACGATTGGTTGCTGGTTGGCCAGGAAGGTCGACTTTGTGAAGAAAGCATAAGGCTGTATTCTACCACGTGGGAAAGCCAAATACAGCCAATTATATTCATTATAAGGAGAAATAATACAGCAATTCGGAAATCGTTGATAGAATATCTAATTATTCATCACCGAGTAGTTCTTCCAGCTTGTACTTCGTCAGTTCTCAGCTTGGAGTGCTGATGATCGATTGGACGGGGCATATTGACCAGAGTACTTGCCAGTGAAAGTACTGTGTTCTGGTTCTCCAAAATGATCTGGAAGGAAAAAATGACTGATCAAATACTGGGTATTATATATGGCCAGCCATGATCTGGCCTGTTGCTTGTCAACTGACCTTATATCATTATATTAGACACTAAGTACTTCGGCTGCTCTGTCTGACAACAAATAAGCCACACGAACAAACAACAAGCAATTACATCATCAATGTACGCAAGGGAATTCGAAAAGACCGCAACCGCGGAGCTTGAATCACCAATCCATTCCGCCCACTTCCAACAAAACCAACCCACATTTGTTCAGGGCTTCGATAATTGCTCCCTTCGGAAGAAAAGAAGAAAGCCACCACTTAAATTTAAGCGTTAGACGTGATTGGCAATATTAGTATAGGGGGCCACATACCAGATCGAAAGCTGCAACAAAAGAGCAGCCCAAAACCAAGCGTTACCCAACGCGCCCGCACCAGCCGTAATATCCGGTGAGATAGGCCCAGGTCCTATGTTATTCGGTGCGAAGGCTCTTGCGCAAATAGTTGCAAGAGAGCCCAGGACCTGTGATACCAGAAGGGTGAAGCAGATATGCATACGTGTCAGTGTTTGTAGCAGAATCATACCAAAACCAAGACCTTGTAATGCGTCCAAGACCCCGAGCCAGAGCCAAAGACTTCGGGATACAAGAGCTCCCGAGGTATAACTCCCAGCCCAGGGGAGGTACAGGCCGGATCCAGATGTGCCCCACCAGATTTGGGCCCAACGAGGTGCACCCAGACCACATGCGAGCACTGGGAGAATCCAACTATGAGACTTGGATAGTCTAGCTAGCAGGAAGAGGACTGCTATCCAGACAAAGCCAAAGAATGCAACACAGAGAAGTAGGATTTGCCACGAGCTAGCGTGCTGGGTAATCCAGAGGACTGTGGTAACCATTAGTGCAATACAAGGTAAGGTATAGGAAGGGGGAATGGATAGCAGGGACCTTCTGGGAAATGGAGACTCACAATTCCAGTTTCGACCATATGGGGCACTCAAAAAGAAGTTTTGGATAATGACGACCACCCAGTTCCAAAGTATAATCTTGCGCCGGAAGACAGATTTGTAGAACGATGGCACTTTGCCGGGAGTTTGGCGATAGTAGTTTGGCAAACCGAAATAGACGATGAGGCCAATTGCCCACAGAAAGAGGGTAATTGGTGTACATATTGCTCTATGGTAAGGTTAGCAAGTCTCCAGTCTTTGCGATGAAGATTTTTGATGCTATACGCACGTCATTCTCCAGGTGTTAGTGACACTGCCCTGCACATCCGTAATTCCAGCGTTGGAAGCTTTAGTCAAAGTTGAACCCCAGTACCAAAGAGCAATGACATAGGCTTGCTGTGTGCCTTGAATAAGACAAGCACGGAACACCCACTGCTTGACGGGTGCACCGCTCTCATCGCCGAAATTGAGGGCAAAGAAGATAGAACCGCTGGATGAT